AGGCTGGAGTGCAATGGCGCGATCTCGGCTCACTGCAACCTCCGCCTCCTGGGTTCAGGCAATTCTCCTGCCTCAGCCTCCTGAGTAGCTGGGATTACAGGCACACGCCACCATGCCCAGTTAATGTTTTTTGTATTTTTAGTAGAGACGAGGTTTCACCATGTTGACCAGGATGGTCTCGATCTCTTGACCTCGTGATCCATCCCCCTCGGCCTCCCAAAGTGCTGGGATTACAGACTTGAGCCACCGCACCCGGCAACACACCCTACTAATTTTGTATTTTCAGTAGAGATGGGGTTTTGCCAGGTTGCCCAGGCTGGTCTCAAACTCCTGGGCTGAAGAGATCTACCCACCTAAGCCTCCCAAAGTGCTAGAATTACAGGTGTGAGCCACCACTCCTGGTCTGGATTCTGGTGTTATTTATATGCATTGTCAATATTTTCTTCATCTGAGAACTGCTTTTCCACTTTTTTGGTTTCCTTTGTTGAACAAAAATCCTTAATTTTGATGAAGTCTAATTATGGTCAGTGCTGTTTGTGTCTTGTTTAAGAAACATTTGCCTAAAGTTTTGAAGATTTTTCTTTTTTCTTTTTTTTTTTTTTAAGATGGAGTCTCACTATGTTGCCCAGGCTAAAGTGCAATGATGGCGATCTTGGCTCACTGCAACCTCCACCTCCTGGTTTCAAGTGATTCTCCTGCCTCAACCTCCTGAGTAGCTGGGATTACTTACAGGCATGCACCACTATGCCTGGCTAAGTTTTGCATTTATTTTTTATTTTTATAAAGACAGGGTTTCACCATGTTGGCCAGGCTGGTCTTGAACTCCTGACCTCAGGTGATCCGCCCACCTCGGCCTCCCAAAGTGCTGAGACTACAGGCGTGAGCCACCACACCCGGCCAAGTTTTGCATTTTTTTAGTAGAGATGAGGTTTCTCCATATTGGCCAGGCTGATCTCAAACTCCTGACCCTCAGGTAATTTGCCCACCTCAGCTTCCCAAAGTGCTAGGATTACAGAAGTGAGCCACCCCATCTGGTCTCTTTTTTTTCTGAGATGGAGTTTCGCTCTTGAATCAACTATAGTTTTTTTTTTTCTTATTTTAAAAAATAGATTCTCAAGCCTTCTCTTAGACATGCTGAGTCAGAATGCCCAAAAGGTGAGATCAGAGAACCAATAATGTAAATAAACAATGTAATCTGGAAACTATTCTACCTTAAATTATAATGAAACAAAGGTATGACTATTCTTTCTGAGCAGGCAAACTACTATCAGATTGGAGAATGCTAACATTTTAGACCCAGACTAGAGAACTAGGAAAAGGCTGTGGGCCAATGTTCTGACCTTCTCAAAAAAACCATCAAGCTGCAGACACCACATGATGAATGGGACTTAGTCCAGGTTAAGGTGGTAGTACCCACGTTTAAAAATAACAAGGTCAGCAGGGTGGGGGTTAAGTTCCTTTCACAATTAGGTGAGGTCTTGGCAGCCACCTTTCAGCCATGTTTGCTCCAGACAGGGAGAACTTCAGTGTCTCCTAACCTAGGCAGTCAGTAGCTTTGTAGAGCAGTGGACTAATATGTCTATTGTTTCCCCTTTACAGATACTTGAAGACATCCAGTGAACCAGTCCTTTCACATATCCTTTCACCACCTTGGAATGCCCACTAGTAACAGGAACACACAGAAGCAAAGGGTCAGAGCTACCCTTGACCTGCCATGCAGCGTGTCCCTCAGGACAAAGCAAGGGGGAAAGAATAAATTAAACCTGCTTCCCCCTCCCAGCAACCCTGGCGACACTATGGATTGTCTCTGGGCCTGGCTCCTGCTCCCTTGCTTATCTGGCTGGTCACTATCCCAGAATGAAAGGCTCCTTGCACTGAGTGGAAGGGACAAAATATCATAAGCAGGACTGATGGCACACAGGTGCCACTGCTGGATGTCTGCCCACAGGGCATATGACCTATGTCAGAGGATACAGACTTCAGTCTACTGTCTGCACTCTGCTTCCAAATTATTTTTTAAAAATTGAAACCAGTTGCCAACTTTTAAGCACCAACAGTCCACCCACAGAAATTAAGATTTCCATCAGGCATGGTGGCTCATGCCTGTAATCCCAGCACTTTGGGAGGCTGACGCAGGCAGATTATGAGGTCAGGAGTTTGAGACTAGCCTGGCCAACATGATGAGAAACCCCATCTCCACTAAAAATACAAAATAATCCAGGCGTGGTGGCGCATGCCTGTAATCCCAGCTACTCAGGAGGCTGAGGCAGGAAAATCGCTTGAACCTGGGAGGCTGAGGCTGTGGTGAGCCGAGATCTCACCATTGCACTCCAGACTGGGCAATAAAAATGAAACTCCGTCTTAAAAAAAAAGAAATCAAGATTTCCATTTTTCTTTTTTTTTTTTTTT